TTTTGCCTTGAAAACTCCAGGATTTGATAATAAAGCCTTTGAGAGCCAACATATTTTTCTAGGGGTAGCCTGAGTGCAAAATCTATCCCATCTGGCAATACTTTATAAAAGTTAAACCAGGGGAAGAGCATCAGGCCCGATTCTGCAAACATTTAAACATGTGTTGGACCAATCAAGAGAGTGAAGTTACTCTTGGTACATTCAGGAGTGAGTTCTCGAGTCTTTGTAGTGTGAAATAAAGTGCCTATGTGAGTGTTTCTGTGCTGGAAGAGTTGTCCTCGGTCAGCATAACCATATAGAAAAGTCCACCCATTTGCAAAATGCACTTAAAAATGAGCAGATTATTAGCTAATATGTTTGTAGAAATAGCTTAATGAAGATATTCCCTGAGGAATGAATAAATATTAGGATCACAATTTGGTGTCCATGGAACATGATGGCATTAATGTGAACGAGTAACTGAAGGAAAGCACATGCTGAAATACTTTGCTGGATTGGGACCAGGATGCTTAGAACAGTGCTGGACCCTTCACAGCAACAAGGCACAAAAAATGGATTTCCCATGTGAGGGGGACTTCCTACTTTTTTTTTTTTAGGTTGCATTTTTGGTACTCCTAAGAAAAAGCACAGAGATTCTCTGTCATGTATCTACCAGTCCACAGTGAGCTTAGCTAGGTTGCATGCTTTGGTTAATCAGGAAACTGGTTCATCTCTTCTGTACTTTCAAATCCCAAAGGCAATGGAAGAAGTTCTGACAGTGTTTAACAGTGGTGGCATAGTATCTCACGATGATCACCTTTCTTGCCAAATACATGTTCAATCTCACACTTTGTGCCAGACTTCATGCAACCAAAAGCAAACGCACGCTTGGTGCTTCAGGCACGCATAGGCCTGTCTCCAACACAGGGCTCCTTGAGTTGTGTCAGTCAGGTCACCGTGTCGTCAGCAAAAGCAGCCACCTTGCCGAAAATCTGCCTGAGTGGCATCAGGCAAGGTGCGTGGGTGTGAGCCATTGCTGACAAACTGTGTCCCCCACCAATGCCAGCTCAGGGAAATGTCCCCCGCTGTCAGCTGCAGCGTGCACCCCGGGATGGGTCAGGCAACCGGGGACCGAGGAGGCAGCTCATGCCTCCTGGGGGTTTGTGCGTGGGCAGAACAGAGTTATGTGTCTCCGGCTGACGGGGCTGGGGAAGCAGTCCCAGCCTCTGTCCCAGCCTCTGCTATCTCCTGGTTTTCAGACGTAATCAAAACAAACTTCGGTGCCTAATGACTTCATCTCTTCTGTGTGCAAAACACCTGAAAAAGTCAACAGTCCCTTAAAACATCACGTGGAGAACGATGAAAGTTGGAAAGCTGGAATGATATTTTTTTTTTTTTTAGCCAAGACAAAGTACTTCAGCAGTGACACTATT